TTGTGTGAATCCCTCCACATTTTGTGCTTTGTTCGTCCGTAAGTCATGGTTTGTATTATATCTTTATGTACATTTTACCTCCCCTAGAACCCTGGAGAAACAAGCAGTTTCTGTAGTAATTAGCCTAGTGGTTACCAGAGAATGCAGTATTTTTTGTATCTTATCAGAAGAATGTGCAGCTCTGTGCCTACCAAATGTAAATGTCTTTATTTATAGTTGAGGAATACTTTCATTATAGCTTCTCAGAAAGTGTGCAGAATCTCTAGTAGGTTGGAAGATATCATGATAAAGAAAAGCAGAACATATTCCAATCTGATATGGTTGAAGAGAAATTAAACCTAAAGTAAAAGAGAAAAGGAGAAGGGTATATGTAGCAAGATAGAAGAAAAACGCTTTGGAGGCCTTTCTTCACAAAGAGAGAAGCCTGGCCTTGATAAAAAAGAAAATAGGGTCCTGTGATCATGGAACACTGATGAGGTGGTGTAGAGGAATACCTTACTTAAAAGGTACACACCTCCTAAGAAGGGAGGCAGCTTTACTCTCCATGTCAAGAAAACATACAGGAAATGCCCCTGCCTGAGAGTGCGAATTTGCAGACCATCCAAAGAATGGATATAGGTGATGATGTCTTCCTTTTGCATGTCATAAAATTAGTAGTGATGTAAGACTTTCTCTTCTAAAATTTGTATTCAACTAAAATAGACTATTTAAGACATTTCTCCAAAGAAGATATCCAGATGGCCAAGAGGCACATGAAAAGACATCGCTAATTATTAGAGAAATGCAAATCAAAACTACAATGGCGTATCACCTCACACGAGTCAGAATTGCCATCATTAAAAAGTTTACAAATAATAAATGCTGGAGAGGGTGTGGAAAAAAAGGAGCCCTCCTACACTGTTGGTGGTAATGTAAACTGGTGCAGCCACTATGGAGAACAGTATGGAATTTCCTTAAAACACTAAAAATAGTTACCATATGATCCAGCAGTCCCACTCCTGGGCATATATCCAGAGAAAACTGTAATTTGAAAAGACGCATGCACCCCAATGTTCACAGCAGCACTGTTTACAACAGCCAGGATATGGAAACAACCTAAGTGTCTATAGACGGATGATTTGATAAAGAAGTTGTGGTATGTATATATATATATACACACACACATATGCATACAATGGAATACTACTTAACCATAAAAAGAATAATATAATACCATTTGCAGCAACATGGCTGGACCTGGAGATCATCATTCTAAGTGAGGTAAGCCAGAAAGAGAAAGAAGACTATCATATGATACCACTTATATGTGAAATCTAAAAAAAAAAAAAAAAAAAAAAAAGACACGAATTGAACTTATTTGTAAAACGGAAACAGATTCACAGAAAGAACAAACTTATGGTTACCGAGGGAAAGAGGGAAGGAAGGGATAAATTGGGAGTTGGAGATTTACAGATACTACCTACTATATATAAAATAGGCAAACGAGTTTTTTCTGTATGTCACAGGAACTATACTCAATATCTTGTAGTAACCTATAATGAAAAAGAATATGAAAAATTATGTATGTACATTTATGACTTAAACATTATGAAACTTTCACTACGTTGTCATCATGCTCTTTTTTTCCATCGGCCACAAGATCAGCAATACCTCAGAAAGAGGCTTTTTTTTTTTTAATCAGTTTCAAGCCAGGATGAACATGTAGTGTAAGTTTTAAAAAGCCAATTCATTGTTGCAGTGCAGTAGTTCTCAATTAAAGGGTTATTTTGTTCCCCCTTACCCCTGCTCAGGAGGTACTCAGCAATATCTGGAGGCGTTTTTTGGTCATCACAACTAGGAGAGTGCATCTGTTGTGGGTAGAGGCCAGGTATGCTGCTAAATATCCCACAATGCCCAGGACAAGTTCTCACAACAGAGAATTATCTGGCCAAAAATGTCGCTAATCCTGAGATTAAGGGGCCCTATTGTAAGCTTCTGGGCTTGTTTATTACCATAACCTAGGCTATCCTGACTAATACAGCAACTATCACATTCATTTTAGAATAGCCAGTGTGGAAATAGTTGGGCTTAACCAGTTAGGTGCCATGATTATTAGGAAGATAGGTTTGAAAGGAATCCAGAAAAGAAAACTGTAGATATACTGTGGCATAAGATTGTGAAGGTGATTCAGAAGGGTCAGAAGCTTCCAATTTCACAACTATTACTGTGCAGCTGCAAATATGCCAGATAAACAAAAACCAGACAGAAAGGTCTAAAACTAATATGGTTGCACATTGAATTCTCCAAGGAAATCAAATATTAATATAAAGGAGGTTTGTAATCAAAGATAAATATGAGTCTTTTACACTTCTCTAAAAATAGCATTTAAAAAACTAAGGTCCAAAATTGACATAAGATCACAAAAGGGTTTTTGCTTGTTTTAGTTGGGTTAGCAGCAAGACTACAAAAGAAATGTATCTCTTGTTTGATACTTATAAACAGAACAGCTCATCAAGGCTTGGTTCAATCCCTCATCACAGGCCACCAGCCTCAGCTGAACTGCCTACTTCCTATTCTTCCATAATAGCTGATTCTCTAGTATTTTTTTTTTCTTTCGAGGCAGCAGACTTTTTTAGTTCTGGTTCTTAAAGATTTGCATATACTTGTAGTACCAGAATCAATTTCTGTCCACCTTTGTGGCTTGGAATTGCCCCTACTTCAAAACCTTCAAAATGACAGATTTTGGATATACCTACCCTTTCAAATAGAGCTATATGGAAGGATGAAATGCTATATTTCAGGGGTAGTGGTTCCCAGGCTTAAATATTTTATTTATTAAATATTTGTTTATTAATATTAGCACTTTAAATATTAATAAATGTTTAGTGTTATAATATTAAATATTTGATAAATGTTTATTTGAATATTTGCTTAAATACTTTCAAGCAGAGGCCAGAGAGCCACTTGCTTGTCTGTTCTCTTCCAACCCTGATTGCCTGTAATTCTAAATTTAAAACTCTGGATTGAAGTTAAGAATAAATTTTTCATCATGTGTTTCTCAGCTCCTAGCATATTTTAGCCATGTCTAAAAGCAAGGACTAGGAAATAAAGATGCCAGGTCTTCTGTGGCATAAAAACGCCTTTATTTGAGAATGGAAGGGGTTAACTGCAGGGTCCTGTTGGAGTCTGTTAACTCTTTTAATTGTATAGCCCATGAGAATTTCCTCATCGCATTACTAAAGCTCTCTTGTCCATCTGTTTGTTTCATTACCTACTGTCACATCTGAGTCATCAAATCCACGTTCTGAAATATTTGCCTATTTGTTGTAAGTCCTCCAAGTTCATAGAAGAATTACTAAAATGGAGTCAACCAGCAGTGGTAGTGTGAAAGAGACCTGTTTGTACACTTACTCCTCACCAGCTTATTGAGTGGTAGGAGATGCAGTAGAAGTAGAAACCATTGGTGAATTTCTGTTTGCTCTCTGATTCAGCTGAGAAATGACAGTCATGTCAGATGCTTTCTCTTTAATGATAGTAATGAGGATTATATAGCATTTAGCACACAATCTTAAATTTTTACCTTATTTATTAATCACACTTATTTATAAAGCATATCTCAATGAAAATTTTGAAATCAAAAGTTAAATGTTTTATGTGTTATTAGATGTGTTTTATGGATTACTGATTTTTCATTTGTTACATTTAATCTTTCTTTATTTTGTTCCTTCAGATTCTTGGTCTTAGAAATGTCTACCTGCCCCCTCCCCCCAAAAAATGAATTGTCAAGTCACAGAGTTATATAGGCAGCAAATAAACATTCTCAAAAAAGTAAATATTACTAGTAAGTGAAGAAATACAAATTAAAATATCAAGGTACCATTTTCCCCTATTAAAATTTTTTTGTTTTCTTATGAAAGTGTAACATATCTTTATTGTAAAAAAAAAATTAGAAAATACAAATAAATCAGAGCAATACAATAAGCATCTCATTATGTAGATGTCAGTCTTTTTCTGTTTGTGTCTAAAATTTATCTAATGCTCTCCTGTTGATGTACACTTGAATTTTTTGTTATTCTAAGTAACACTGTAATAAACATCCTCTGCATTGATCTTTTTTTGCATCTCTGATTATTCTGTTAGAACTATTTCCTAGAAATGCTATTGCTGCATCAAAGCATATTGCATTTTTTGAAGCTTTTGATTGTCTTTTGCCAAATTGCTGACCAGAAAGGACTTATCAGATGTATGAGAGGATTAGTTTATACATTCTCTAGTCTGTATTGTTTATGTTATTTTCTTATCTTCCCTGTTTTGATAACTGCATGGCAGTTATCTCTCTGTTTTAATCTGTACTTCTTTGATTAATAATCAGAACATATTTTACATGTCCTAACAAACTTCATTGCCACATTATTTATAAGAGGAAACACAAACACACACATCCCTGAATGTTCAACCAAAGTAAAGCAGTTAAATAAAATATGATACTCCTAAAGAATAAACTGTGCAGCTTTAAAATATTAAATATGCAAAGTATTTTTACTGACCTAGGAAAATATTTATTGTTTAACGTTAACTAGGACAATTAGAATGATAAATTTTATATGTAATTTGATGTCTACTATACTCTTTTAAGTGGATAAGCAAACAAACCTGAAAGAAAATATGCCAACATGTAATTGCTTCTGCATGGTGGTAGGTGATTTTTAGTATTTTCATAATTTTAATACTTTCCACATTTTTTAAATTAACATTTATATCACATTTGTGCAGAAAACACATTTTTAAGTACGCCACATAAATGGGCAAGAGGGGAAACTCCACTTGCATTTTTGTATTCTAAAGATAATTTAAACATTTGACATTGAAACAATGAACATGATCAGGTACCTTAAATGAGACTCTGGTAAACAGTTAAATAGCCAGTTGTCAAAATGTTAAAAGTTCCACTTGCTTGAGAAGCTCACAGTTGTTGGAATGCCCTGAAAATGGGACGTTATTTATGACAGTTTCCTTTTTAGGTTGCTGCTGTTGATCTTCTGGTTCCTGGAGTTGGAGAACTCTTTGGAGGAAGCCTCAGAGAGGAACGGTACCATTTCTTAGAGCAGCAGTTGGCCAGGTATTGGTCGGACCTAGAAGTAAAATTCAGAAATTGGGGATGGGGCGCTTAAAAGCAGTCATGACAGAATAACAGAATAGCACATGGGCCTTAGCACCTGACAGACCTGGATCTTCTTTTTTTTTTTTCCCTTTTTTTCAGTGGAGATAGTAGAAATTGAACCCAGGACCTCGTTCATGCTAGGCATGCACTCTACCACTGAGCTATTCCCCCTCCATCTGCCCTCACCGCCCCCTACCCCCGTCTCTCAGATTCTTTGTGATCTTGAGCAGGTTGTCCATACCTCTCTGAGCTTCCTTTTCTAAAAGACTGGAACTGTTATACGAAACACACTGGTTTTTTGCTCACTATTTGTATGTATCTCTCCATATGGAAATAGCTTTTTAAAAAATTAATGAGAAAGGAAAAGAGAATTCCCCCCTTAAAGCTTGTTCTTCATTTTTCTTTGTGTGTTTTTTAAAAATATATTTTACTCTAAATTATGATTGGCAGACTCCTACAGGGGCATAGAGAAAGGCAGGCTCTGAACCTGGGAAAGGATAAAGATGGAGGAAGGAAGATACTAAAAATATTTGCTCAGCTAGCATTTAGAATAAACAGTTTTCCTTTACTCAGGTTTTCTACTATGTAAGCATCTTGATTTAGGTATTTGAATAACTACTTTAACTCACTGTTTGAGACCTGGGAAATGAATCCATAAACACACAGAAAATGTTTTGGAGATGGGAAGTAGGGAATCATGTTTCTAATTGAACTACCACTCCTGTGTATGCATGGTCTGCCAACAAACCACAGTGACTTCCTAAACTAACCAAGGTTATAAACCTCTGTTTTCCATGGTTTCTACTTTTCCTGTGCCAGACTTAAAAAAAAAAAAGTCTTTCCCATGTTGAAGGCTTAATCCTTCTCTCTGGACAATACTGGGTTTCATAGTAACCTGGAAAAGTCATGATTGTTTGAAAATATCCTGTTAAATTAGCCGTTTGTAAGATCTTCTTTTCCTAATGGAGAAATGCTTAAAAAGTTGATCCTTTTCCAAGATCCCAACCTATAAATCTGTTGGGTAACTTGGTTTTGTAATCCCAGCCATTTGAACTGCTCTATTTGGTTAGGGTCCAGAAGAAAGGGGATAAATACATTCTGGGAGGACTCTTTCAGCAACTAGACTACTAACTCCTACTGTTGCTGTCGTGGTAAGAAGTCCTAGGAAAATCATGGAGTTGAAGTGAAGGTGAAACTCCTTAGATAGAAAGAATTTGAAGATTCTCTGGGATTTTTTTTTTTAAGCACAATAAAAATCACACATGGCAAGAAACCTCATCTGTTGAGAGATTAATTGGTCTGTTTTCTTTGCTTGCTTCCTTCCTTCAGGAAACCTTTCCTCATAACATGAAATGTTTACCCAATATCTGAGAATACCCAAATTTATCTTTCCTAATGAAGTGGATATATGTGTTCCCATATCTCAGGGATCTCTCTGTGACTTCTGTTCATATTTTTCCATATTTTTATATATTTGAATTTTTCATAATCCTGATCATTTTGAGATACACGGTGGTTCCAAACACTTTTCTAAAGGGCTGAAATTAATTTTAATGAGTACTAGGAGTTTAACTTTTTAGTAACATTTCTCAAATTGGCAAAAACCAATTTACAACCATATTATGAAGGCAGCCTCAGAACCTATATTATTGTTTTAATATTATGGAATGAAAGTTGTGTTTGTTCATCCCTTGTCTGTGCTTGCCTTTCAACACCCTTAAGTGGTAATAGTGCTTTCCTTATGTCACAGGATAAAAAACTTACCTCAAATGAACCCCTTCTTTCGGGCTTTGGACCATTCTTTCTGTATCATTTAATATTTAACAATACCTTGGACTGTTGATTAACTTACTGTTGGTTAGGTTACCTTTCTTTCCACTTAATAAAAGGTTCAGCTTCTCAACTGTATTGCATGTTATTTAAGAGCCACAGATTTTGGTGCATACTTGTTTTTAAAGAGCACTTTGCACAAAACCCAGAATAAATATTTTGTCGTTAGTATTTTACTGCCATTCTCTGAGAGAATTTTATTATTTTCCTTTGACAGATCGGGACTGACAGAAGCCTACCAATGGTAAGAATGTGGCCCCTGATGACTCATTCTAGCTGTGGATCTGAGTGTTACAGTTTTCACTTGTATTTCCAGGGTGCTATAGAAGGGTGGTAAGACAATGAACAGGTTCTCAGAAGACTACTTGCACCCTTTGAGTCCTTGAAAAATAGTAATAATGATGCCTGTCACTTATTTATTACCTATTGTGTGCCAGATTAACTGTGTTAAGATTTTGATGTATATTGTTTCATGTAATCACCACAACACCCTGTGCGTTAAATACTGTTCTTATTACCTTTCTATTACTCCTCCAGGCCTGAGGCTTAAAGATGTTAACCAATTTAACCACGTGCTCATGGTTAGAAGCATAAAGCTGGGACTTTGTTCCTAACCATTATGCTTCAGTTTCTGTGTGTGTGAAATCAGGGGCTTGAGTTAAGTGGTCCCTGAGGTCGCCACTAACTGCAGAAATCTAAGCTGCTTAGAGAAAATCATCTGTCTGCATTCCTAAATTCTGGTTTTCTTTCTGCAGACCCTTTCTTCAACTACTTTTCAATATTTATA